GCCATTGTGAATGACCGACTGTGTTACCCCTTCACATGATCAATACATACATATCGTACATGGATAGAACAATGACAGAAGAAAGGAAACGCGTTCTGCTTTTGAAGGTGCCAGAGACGCGTGCGGCGGCGCTCTACCCGACGGACAGGCCAAATCCTTGTGCTTACAGACAGTACTTGCACTGCATTAATAACACCAGAAAGCGAACAGAACACAAGACCGTTACAACGTCTGATCTGCCACCGTTTGAAAGTGACTTGATATCGTTGGGTAGGCTCTCTACTCAAGCTGTAGTCGCTGCCCGTCGCGACTCTCCGCTGTCCGCTTCATGTCAACAAAAATACGTGCGTCGGCGGATTCTGGCGCCTCCAGTACTGTCAACGGCAGCGTGGGCCGTGCTCTTGGCAGCGACAACCAAACCGTCGCCAAGCAGAAAGGTGGGAAGGAGGTTGATGGGTCTAGACGACCGAGTCGAGTGCAAATACGACAGCCCGCTGACCGTGATTCTGGTGCAGCAACAAAGCGAGCGCTGAAGACCTTCAATTATGCAAACTCGGCTCTCGCAAATACCCCCACGTCAGTTACACATCAGGCGCATGCATGTGGGAACGATCACCTTGCTGCGTATTGACTCGTTACTGCACCACCGCTACATAGACTGGTTCTCGTGTCACTCAACGACACGTTCGCCACGAAGACTATCGACCTATTTGATACGGTTAAAGTCGGACGCAAGCTGAACCCAAAAATAGCACCAGAACCCAACAATGGAATCTTCGACTCGAAAGTCCTCAGCCGAAATCACGCTGAGATATGGTTCGCAGATGGGAAGGTTCGTTTAGATCACCATCGTTGTTTATTCCGGTCAATGACCTTGACGTTCTCTTGCGTAGGTCTGGGTGAAAGATGTGAAATCCAGCAATGGAACTTTCCTGAACGGAAAACGACTGAGCGAGGATAATATGGAAAGCGAGCCATTTGAGTTGCAGGCAGGAGCGAGACTGGATTTTGGTCTGGACATCAAAAACCAGGAGGAGACAGTGGGTGAGGTGGTCGCGCTGGCAGATAAATGTCCCTTGCCGCTGTGCTAAAGCATATATTCAGTCATATATAAGAAAGTTTCCTGCAAAGTTTCTTTTCTGGATCATTCGCAGATGAGCAATCCTTCCGCTCCTGAAATTGGTGTGGAACCGGCGCGTGGGTATGTTTTCCCGCACGGCACCCGAAGATGAATCCGTCACTCATGGTTAAGGTTCATGCAGGTCCGTTGGCTCGGCATCAACGTTGGAAGGAGTTGAGCGAAGTGACCTGAGCGATCTACTGGATGTATGTAGCACATTAGCCATTACTGTGACATGCGAAATCCTAAACCTACACGTTTTGCAGAGGGAACTCAAAACCGCCGATGAAACCCGCGTAAAACTTCTCCAGCTGAAGGAATCTCTAGAAACGCTGGGCCCGATCCGTTCAACGGAAAGTTTGAATGGATCGCCGGACGGCGTGCAATCATCAAAGGAGGCTGCGACTCGTCAAGCAGATGAGACGCTCGCAAAGGAGCTTGAGGAGGCAAAACTGGAAATACAAACCTTGGCTAATAAATACAACGACAGCCTGTCTCAAGCCAAGGACTGGGAGAGTTTTAAGAAGCAGGTAGAAGGACATGCTTTGGAGGTGGATGCGCTCAAGAAGCAAAATTCCACAATTGAGGTCGTGAAAGAAGAGGCGAGCCGCTGGAAATCGAGGTCTGATTTACTCGAAGGCGAGATAACTGCGCTAAAGGAGGTACGCTACTACAGAAGTTAGTGAATACTAGTCGAACCTGAATAACGTATTGTTTGACGCAGAAGGTCAATTCAACAACGGCAAGGGAGACCGCTTCCATAGTAGCAGAATCGGAAAAGAACGTCAAAGCCCTGAATGAAGAATTGAAGAGCATCCGCGACCAATGCAAAACACTCAGTTCAGAAAGAGATCAGCTTGCAACGGAAATCAAAGCTCTGCGGCAAAGCCTCGCCAATGCGGAAAAGGAGTCGCACGCGCAGCGCGAACAGAACCAGAAGCTTCTCAAAGAAGCAGCCGAAATCGCAAAGAATGTCGCTGCTCTCGCTCCTTCGCCGACTCCCTCGGAGACCGCTTCCGCAGCCAAGGAGCAAAGAATACCAACAACACCCGGAAAAAGGGACCGAAACGCCAGAAGGCGAGCTGCCAAAAGCAAGGAGAAAGACGACAGTGCGGAGGTGGAGAAACCAGTGGAACGAACCGCACAGGTGGTGTCTGACCCGGAAGATGATGACGGTGTCAAGTACGACAGCAATGGCGGGAACGCTTCAACACTACATGTGAGTTTCTCGTCTGCATCGCAATTCAGTGTGACGTTGCCTGTCCAATGTCCTTATGACATCGTTCACAGCTGCTTATCACGTCTTGTCTCACCAGATTCTGGCAATCGCTGCCATCGGCATCCTGTCCATCGGCGGCATCGCCTACTTCAGTCTCGGCCACGAGTTCTTCGACCCACTCATGGGAGCACTCAGCGAGCTCTTTTGAATACCCAATGGCGGGCCTATGAGACAGTTGGCTTGACCTCGCGCCCCGCCATTCCTGGGGATTTGACACGCCCCCTGATGCGTTTCGCTCCCCTTCCTCACTCCCGTGTTTCCTTTTGCCAGGCCGGGTAGTTTTTTGTCTTGAAATGCTCAACAGAAGAGAACTGTATTTATCCCAATGTCATTTTTGATTGGTCATTAACAGAGGAAATCAGACGCACCATTGACAGCGAGCCAATGGTTTGCATATCTTTTGCGGCACAGATTTGTTATTTTGAAAAAAATTTAGACTACTACTAACGTCTTTTGGAGGTGCGGAGAGTATATATCTACATTCGTCTACCGCGATCTCTAAACTATAATATGAATTCGGATCGTCACCAGGACAACCGCCAAATTTACAATGACATCCCACCAATGGTGGGTATCGTTCATGGGGGGGGGGGGGGGAGGGGGCAAGGAGACCTTTCAGTACTTGATGCTCGATCCGCAAGTATCATTGTCATTCAACGGGGCGCCGGCAACACCGCCGCTGGAGGTAGCGTATAGAGCAGCGTACACTTCAGCCAAGTATCCTCCGGTACACTTGAGGGCGACCTGGAGGTCGGGGTACTGGTCCGTGATGGCGGCCTTGATCTGGGCTTTGGTGTAGGTTCCGCCAGGGGATATGCCGGCCGCGCTCATCGCCCGACCGAGCTCGAATTTTGTGCGGAGGGTGAGGACCCAGTTGAAATATTGGAAGATGTCTTGCCCGGTCTTGAAGGGCGAGAAGCAGGATTTGGCCGCGGGGGAGTAGCAAGTGCCGTGCTTGCCCCACTCGTGGACCCAGAAGGCGTTATTATCGCCCTTGTACGAGACCCAGTACTGGTTCATCTTGGACACGAGGCCCGAGTCGTAACTTTTCAGCGGACCGGCAACGTCAGAGTATTGGGGCATCCCGGGGCAGTTGTTAATCTGCTTTCCCGCGCAGGTGTTGGGCCACGCGCCATGGACAGTCCAGATCTTGGCCGGATTGTTGATCTCGCAGGTGGATGGCGAGCCCTTGCAGTAACCGGGGAGCCACTGCTGGGCAAAGACGACGGTACCGTAGGTGGGGAGACAGCATGTGTTGGAGGGTGCGGACGATTTGCAGGCGACCGCGTTGATGGAGCAGCTGCCCCCTCCGGCCAGCGGATTGAAGGGTAGGGTTGCCGCGTTGACGCCAGTGGCCACCAGGGCGCCGAGCGTAATGAGAGCGGATGTGAGCTGCATGGTTTGATGAGAAGATAGGGAAGCGAAGAGTAGGGAGGGGAGAGGAGGGGCTTGTTGATGTTGAAAGAAGACGGGGGAGGACACTCCCCGGCCCTGCGTTTTATAGCCGTCGATCTGCACTCTGGCTGCTCTCTGTCTTCTGCCAGTGTCTTCAACATTCTTGATGGTGTATCATCCTGTTGCTCTTCTCTCTCGCCAGTCGGCCACAGTGTGCATATCTCGCGGAAGATACTGTACGTAGTACTCGGTCAGGTCAATGCGGGCCCCCACACATGTGTGATCAGAGCTTACGGCGTAGCCACAGGATACCCGGCCAGAGGGACCAAGGGCATTGTAGCTGATCTGTATACCACCTCTTTGCAAACTTTGACACTTTCGGAAAGAGCGGTCAAAGTCGCTTTAGACCTTTTGCAGGTCCCTTACACACGTTCCTTGGTCAGCCACTTGTATAGGCTCTGGCCGGATGGAAGGGGGATCAAAAAGGTGTAACAAAAAATAAATAAATAATTGGAAAAAAATTTTGTGCGTTGACTCGTGGAGACTCTCCCCTCGGGACCGACAATCTTGGAACGGTCAGCAGATTCGAGCAACAAATCTGCGTATGCGGTACGTCGTCATTTTGACCACGTTCTACTGACCATCTCGGTACGTGATTAGACATTTGTCCGATACAACAAACAAGAAAGAAGGACAAGGATGTTGTTATCCAACACGGGTCGGCATATCAGATTTGGCGGGATACGGGAACCGGAAAACACAGACGACGCATACGACTGGATGATACGAAACATGAGGGAAGGGGGTGACCGGAACTTAAGATCTTGACCACGTTTTCCAACAATTTTATTATCAACACGAACGGATACAATGTTACATGCAACCTTGAGGACGCGCGGAACGAGAACTTTCGGACGCGCGACAAGGCGTGTCTGTGCGTTCTGTGAAGTTTTGTCGATGCGTCCCCAGTGTCTCTCAGATCGACGTAGTAGTATACCAACCGCATCGGTGACATGTGTGAGTATGATTGTATCCCATTCTGGTCAACAGCGCAAAGCAGACTCTCAGCAAGGAATAGTGCAATCCACCCGTTATCACCCGGTGTTCCTTTGGTGTCCAATCTCCTGTTGATCCTGTGTCATTACCAAAGATCTGCGGTCCGCGCACTGATGATCGGGAACCAGTTGAAAAATGACCAAAACGATCTTCCCCGACAGGGAATCGAACCCTGGCCATCACGGTGAGAGCGTGAGATCCTAACCACTGGACCATCGAGGAGCTGATGCTATGAATTTCCAATGATTCCATATTGTACTTACTTGGGCGGAAAAGGCGTGCACTCCAAGTAAATGTCAAACGGTTCTTCAATATATTTGGGCAGGTTTGGTACCGCTGCGCTTCACACAACCCGGATTTATAGTGGTCCAGTGGTTAGGATCCCACGCTTTGAGTCTCCGCGCATATAGACCCAATTTCTTGGAGTGAGCCAAGGATCCTGAGCGATATGCACTGCACAGCCACAACCGCGACTCTTCAGACTCCGATGCTCGTGGAAATTAATTTCAAAGCTGCCACCCCCCTGCCACCGGTTGACCAGACCAAACTCGATTAAAGTGGCACACTCGAAATGTCTGCATCAGATCGTCCTCAGTCGGCCGTCACAGCATTAGGTCTAGCACAGCGCAAGCAAGCCGCTGCTCGCGTGGCTTCCGCCCCGGCAAGCCGCCGTGTCGCCCGGCCGCTAGTGGACTACCACCCAGCGGATATCCCACCGCGATCAACAAACTTTAGCCGCTCAACATCTGCGAAATCAGCTGGCCCTCGTCAAAGTAATTGCTACCAAATTCATACCCCGCCCTTATCGTCTATAGGCTTCAGTCGTTCGACTTCAGCGCGAACCCGCCGCGACAGTGCATTCAGTTCTTGGACGTCCCGAGCCGCCAGTGCTCGAGCAGCTAGTGCTCGCGCTGCTCTTTCTACCAATATAAACCTCTGTTCAGTGTCGTATGAGCTTTCCGATGAGGAGTTTGCGTCCGAGTTTCGACAGCATGACGTGCTTGAAGAGAACGTCAGTGATTTATCGTATGTTCGCTTTCCCTAACGAGATGTAGTAACCAGGTTCTTATTTCTAGCAATGGGTTCTGGAGCCAGACAAGGCAAATGTCGGATTGCCTTCAACCCATGCCTGCTCGTCCCGAGCCACATCGGCCGGCAGGGTCCCCATCTCGGCTGATGACGCCTTCTTCGACATCATCACGCCCATCAAAGAGCACACCTTTGTCCACCCTGTATCAAGTGAGGGACGTCAAGCAGATCATCCGCGATCAAGGCCTCGCTCGGCAGTATCGTCCCGGCCAGGGGTATGATTGGCACCATGTCAGTTTGCGCGTCTTGCTTGATCAATGAGCCGATGCCCTATCTTTCCTGTTAGGAAGCTATTGTGGAACAACAGCAAACGCGCTATAAGCCGCCTTCATTACCGGCACAGGTTCTTACTTCCAAAGCAAGACGGGGAACCATAGCGCCATTCCACGAGTCCTTTGTTCCTCAACGGCGAAAGAATATTCCAAATGAAATCATTCTAGATCTTGACGCCATCAAACAGAAGGTTAGTGATTCACTAGGTTGACGACGTCCCATGATGGACAGCGGTTTTTCTAAGGAGCCTTCTCTGATTCGAAAAAGGGAATCTACCCGCTTCTGCACCGAGAATGGATCCCGGCCACTGCAGACGTTACAAAAGCGATTTCGGATCTGAATGGTGCATATACGGTAAAGACCATTGTCAAGGAGGAGATAGAGGCTGCGATCAACGAGGAAAAACATCGTGCGGAAAGCCACGTTATCGGAAAGGTGAGAACGTCACGAACAAAACCGTAAATGGAACTATGTCTGACTGAGATTGTCTGCCTTCCTGTCTAGCCGCCAGTACTGAAAATTAGTCCCCACGTGAAGGAGAAGAAGAAGGACACAATTGACGCTACTAACAGCCCCGAAACCCCAACGAATTCTCGTATGGCTCTCTCCACAGGTTTTCCCATTCTTGAAACATTGTATTGATATTTGCCTTCCGTGACTGCCGTTACAGAGACGGCGGATGCCGTCGATCCCTCCAAACTGGAGATCGACCGTCAGCTGATCATCAGCAACGGACACGTCATCACAGAGGCACCAGGATATGCCTGGTTTGAGGAAGCGGTGGCAGCGCCCGCAGCGAGCAAAAACTACGTTCTGGAGCTCCTGGTCGAGTTTTGCAGACGATACAAAGGTACGACATGCGAACCCGTAACGACATATATCTAAAAAAGGACAGCGGCACTAACTGCTGGGCAAAACAAAAGTGGATTGGGCTCAGACTAGCTGCAACAAGGTCTTCGAACTCTTAAATCGACCGTTTGTAGAGCCGATTTCAAAAGATGACTTGATCGATTGCTTTGTTAACAAGAGCGAGGTGGGGCTTTTTGGGAATGCAGAATATGAAATTGGATGGAACTGATCTATACTGTCTATGCTCCAGATCCGTCATCTCCTCGATGTGCCAGAGCACAAGTTCCACGCTGTCGCATCAGCACCCACGCTCATACAAAGCTGGTGGAAAATGGTCTGCGCCAGGTAAACGCATAGCCTCACTATTCCCCCCCACACACAGTCACGCTCTTGAAAAACTAATCAACTCAATCGCAACAAGCAAAGACGAATGTATCTTTACCGCGTGCACCGCGTTAATGCCGCCACAAAGCTGTGGAGAATTTACCGACGGATGACCGCACTCAGGGGGCTCAGGGCTAGGATAAAGGTAAATGTCAGGAGAGAAAGGATACAGCATGGGTGCTAAATGCCTGACCGATGATGTGTAGAGCAGGGAACAAACGCACTACGATAATGCTCAGAGATTAGGTCTGAAGCTCAAACGAGAGTGGGGTCGCACGTACGAGACTGGTCGCAGGTGAGCGCACTGTGGGCCAGCCGAGATGCAAAAATGCCAGTTTGACTCATGGATCATGGATCTAAATCATTGTGTAGGACATACATCCATTTCTCCCACACGATACAGGCGGCGGAAGCTGAACTGCAAGTGGCAGAGATAGGAAGGTCCGCTGAACGAACGGCTTCAATAGTTCATTGATGAATCTGGACTGACCAACGTCCTGCACAGAGTTCTCAATCTGCATGATCAAGACGTTAGTGTCATTTTCATCGTGCAAACGACTCGCAAAGAGATCCTCGATCAGATGCAAACCCTCTTTCGTGAGTGTCGCCGGTCACGCTGTCCCAAAAGCCCGAAATCACTCTGCAGTCCTCTAAGCAGTTGTCAACCCATTTCCACACAGGGTTGTCATTCACACTACTGGAGCTAAATCGACTAACGATCATTGCACCCGAAACCGCACATCTGTTCCGATCTCCGAGTTCGCCAGCATCCTGGATACTAGCTTCGCACAAAACCCTGAGAATGCTCACGGATCTGGGCAAGAAAGCCAATTGCATGATTATACCAGGAGACATTGGGTCACAGGAACTAGAGTTGAGTTCGGTCAGTCGAAAGGCAGCTGAGAAGGCAGTTATTGTTTGCATAGTTTTCTCAAGTATCTTACGGTGTTAGACACTCAACATTCCTCTGTCAACACTCCCATCCACGGCGGGTTGGCCGGACTTTGGTGCTCAGTGTCGCATATTCGAAGCCGCGAATATACCGTTCGCTCCGGGATCAGGTATAATTGACCAGCCATCAGGAACACCTTCTCATCCATTTACATGATCTGATACAGTTGTAATGCTACAGATATTCAAGCAACTGATCGACCGAAACGGGAGTCACAGCTCCGTAAGCTGAGGGATGATCACCCGAGTGTCAGCTTGTGGGGAATTTACATCGGCGGCAAGCTCGTCCGATGCATAGGTACAGGTGGCCTGTTTCATGAAGTATATCATCCTGACGAGGGTCTGACTGCTCAACTCCTTTCCCGCAGCACCTAGTGCGGACGATTTACATTCTATCACAACACCACCTCAGTCGCTGGGTTCCACATACATCATGCGAGCCATTTCATCCTCCGCAATTGCAACGAAAGCTGCGGTCGTATTTCCAACAGCATGCCTGATCGTCAAACCGAATGGTGACGTATCCGTGCTCGGGACGTGCGATCAGGCCTATGACCCCAATGTACAAAGAGAAAGTTTATCGTCATACCCGACCTGCATCTTGTACCCAGCTCAGTCAACGGACGGCACGGCACTGGTTGAACATGCCATTACGATTGCTAAAGCTGCGTACAAGGAAATCGGATTATTCGGACCAGTAGCAGTCGAGTTTGCTCTGTTGGATGACCGGGAACTGGTGGGAAGATAGAAATGTTCTTGACTGAAACGGTAGCATCCTGACCGACAACCACTGATTTCAAACTGATTCTTGCTATCCTCGTTTATTTGCGAAACAGTCAGCTTTACATCTTGTGGCCGACTACACGCCCGCGCACACGGGGCTACAGACGTTCATGCTAACAGGCGGAACGCACTACAAGCCTGCAGAAAACACGTTCGAGAACTCCTCTGCGAGGCCTGAGCGGCGAGACTTGGCCTACACGGACCAAATCCCGTGGGTTGACCGAGTAAGGGATTTGGCAACATTTCTGTTTAGGCATTGGAGTTGTGCTGATGGTGGGTTGTGTGCTCTTGCTTTGCGCATGTTCTAGTCTCGCATCAGCAGAATCAAACCGGCGCTACAGTACTCACGCGTGGGAATTCAGTTCCCAAACCTTCGACATCCGATGTTGGAGACCATGTCGTGGAGCGGATTCCTTGCGACCGCCGAGACGCAGTTCGACTATAAACTGAAGAAAGGGAGCATATTGCCCCGACTAAGCACTCATCGCACCTCACCGTATGTCGACATGATATGCATCGAGGGCAACGTCCTCGAATGCGCGCGGCTTGTCTTCAAGAACTTGAATGTAATGGATCAAGCGTTGATGATGCGCAGCACGCCCGGATCGTCTCCGTTGGAGAGCGTGGCAAGGGTGTTGGCGACAGCCTTCGCCCCCGATGACGCGAGTTTATGTCTGGACCAACCGAAAGCAATACATCCTTTGCTTGAGGCATTAGGTATTGGCGAAGAAGGCGTTTATCTGAATTCATCTATCCCCAAGGCCATTCAGGATGATGCCAGTTCGACGTCTTCACAAGGGGAGCTGCAGGTGAAACCCTTTTCCACCGACATGGAACTGCTTCTCGCGCCTATCCCATCGCTCATGCTCCGCGCAAACAACCCAACATGGAGCAAAATCCCCAAATACACACCCATCCTGCCTACCCTCAATTTTATCCACCCGCGCATCGAGCCGGGTCTCACAACCGCCGAGTATCTTGTTGTTATGGAACGCATCCTGGACGATATGGACGAAGCACGCCGCGAACAGCGGGTCTGGGAGAATGTCAACGTGCTCCGCAGCGGGGTTCCGCTAAGACCGAAAGCCCGTGAGCGGGGAGCCGGGCCGGCTACACCGGAACCGCCGCTGGTCTTCCGTGCTCTGGACTTTATGGGACCCGGCGCGAGAGACCCCACTGCGAGAGCAAGACGTGCGTCCGCGTCCGCCTCTGCAGCGCATGCTAAGCTTGCTCAACCAAGGGCAACTGCGAGCCCATCCGCCAAAGCGGAGAAAATGAATGCGGCACTGCCAGCTGGTCCAAAGTCGGTCGTTAGGCAGGTTTTCAATCGGATGTTTGATGACTTTGTCATTGAGGGGGGAAGTCCGCCAGCGTCTACTGACGGAGGACGCAAGCAGAGTTCACCGATTTTGTTTTGAAGCTTGTGTATATATAAAGCATCATCATCAGAGTCTCCCAGATTGACTGTTTCTATCGGAGTCTGAGCCCGTTCCATCTTGTAGTCTTACTGTAAGGTTCAAACTGCCCGGCGTGTTCGCCGCTTGGTGGCTTTATGGGCACGCAGCCTAGTACCGACCCACGGTGGTACGATTCAATCAAGCACCGGAGCACATTCGATCCCCAACTTGGAGTCATGGCAGCAGCTGCAGCCTTGGATTTAAAGCTGCAAACCTCAGGTCAAACAATGATGATGGAGAAATCTCCGACTGTTAACAAATCCCGGCTGAAAAAAAAGAAGAAAGGGGCAGAATTCAACAAAAGAAGAGCAGACGGCAAGGAAGCAGAGAGCAGGCGGGGAGTAGCAGCAGCTCCGTAGACTCCATTAATTCTGTTAACAACCCACGCGTGACAATCATCTTCTTTTCTTTTGAGTTTTAAAGCCCCAGCGAGTTCTTGAAGAAACGCGTCATAAGCCGCGTCTGGAAGGACTTTCTCAAACGGAGGCAACTTCCGAGACTTCCAAGGCAAAGTATAAAAGCCCGCCCCAAGCGTAAATAATCACTACCTCCCAAGTCCATCAACGCATATCGGGAATAAACGATAGCAATGCCCTCCCACTCTACCCCCGCCTATCCCCAACATCTCTACATTGCCCTCTCCGAGTCGGCCGCGTCCCTGCATGCTCTGAAGCACACTTTAACGTCCTTAATTCGCCGCGGCGATTCCTTGACAATCTTCCTGGTAGCCGAATCACCCGAAGCTGAGCGATCGGTGAGTTGAGAGCTCAGAATTGGAAGGGGCAGCGACAGGGGGAAATACGTTACCTACCTCGGACTTTGTGTGACGTTGGGCAGCTTACTACGCGAACATCGACGCTCGTTAGCGCTCTGAAAGAGACGTACCAACTCGACACTCATGTATCGATTGATGCCGTGTGTGGAGAGCCGGGACCTAAGCTGGTAGAGCAGGTACGGGGCTTTGTCTCGAGTTATGTCATTGACCATTTTCGCAACTTCTGCGCAACTTAACATTGACCTTCTCCATCTCAGGTCATCAAACACAAGGTTCACCAACTCATCATTGGCGTGCATGCACGCTCGCACTACGTCATGACTGGTGTGCTGTCCGTTGGCGCCGCCTGCTGCGTCGGGAGAGTTTCGGGATACATTCTGGAGCACATGCCGGTCAACGTGTGTGTCCTCGCGCTGCGCTACGCAGTCGAAAACCCTGTCGACGAAGAGTTGTAGGAAACATATCGCAGATAAGATTTGATATTGTACATAGTGTTTTTGTAGTGACATCACAAGGATAAAGTATAGCTGTCAATTAAACAAAAGGATGACAATGTGTATTTCACACGAAAGCAATGAAGGACATGAATGATGTAATGCAACACAAGAGGGATGTACAAACAAACTTTGACCAAGCCAGTATCAAACTGGACACTAGGCCGAATTCAGATGCAGCCGTACTTCATGTCCTCAATAGCCAATCGGAAGCGAGAGGAGGAGACACCAGTGCCGTCGTTATAACTACCAAACGAAAGGATAGGACGTGCAAAGACAGTAAGCACTTCCAAAGAGTAGGATCTGAGATCAGGCGAAGGACCAGTGTACAGCGAATTCCGCCATCCTTCTTTTTTTTGGAAGACAGAGAAAGAGATAGGATGAGGGTGAGGAAGATGGAGCTTTCATCAGGGGATGCAGCAAAGTCCGCCATACGTACGCGTAATACGCTCAAGCCCATCATTAACATTCAAGCGAAAGCTCCTTGCCGCGCTTGCGCGCCACGGATCAACCACGATGTCTCACCTTCCCACTATCCCTCCTCTTTCTCGTGGCATTCTCACCTTTCTTCCTCCTGGTCCTTCTTGTCAACTGCCTCTCTCCTGTAGCTGACAGGCCTCGTCAAGAGTCCAGGATGAACGTCGTACTGAGCGTGCTGGGACAAGAGTCGTCCGCGAGCAGTGTGCTGATCGTGGTGGTTGCTATTATTCTCGCGGCTGTTGTAAAGGTATGCTAGTGCGCCGATCGCGGTTGCGGCTGCGACGAGGGGTGCTGTGGGACCGGCCATTTGTTGATGATGAAAAAGCGTGCGTTTGCGTAGGTGTGTGCTTGTGCGATATTTTCTGGGCAGTCTACAGAGAAAGAGGTGTTATGTGCGTCAACGCAAGGGGTTATGGTCAGGGAAAGCGGGAAGAAGTGTGGGCGAACGGAGAGTGGCGCAGCAAAAAATGGGTGAATACAAGACTGGTCATTCAATAAGCGGATGTTGGCCACGACGATGGTGCAGGCATGTACCTTCGTAGAGAGAGTGAGTCAATGTAGGTCAGATTTTCGTAGTCATCAAAGTGTTCAAGCAAAGCGTTGCGACATCAAGGGGCGGATGCGTGAGGGATCTATCCTTTTGTACTGGTGAATTACTCATGAACTGTGGCTACAAGTCAAACACGGAGATGCATAAACAGAGAACAAGTGACAGCTGAATCACAATTTGCCTGCGCGGTCTTTAGGAGCATGCATCAATGCATATTCTAAACAAGGATGGATGGAACGAGTTTGATCGACAGGCAAGCATGAAGAACAAGGCATACCCGCAACCAGACACGTATGGGCTGGAACTCTCTCGAACCGTTGCGCGCGTGACAGCGAATAAGGGTGTGATAAAAGGCAGTGAGGCACAGAGCGACGCGCGCCTCCCCACCATGCCGTAAGCAGCCTAAAAAGGTTAAATATCGTGCAAGCTCGAGTGCGATAGAAAGCAGTTTGTGCCAAGTCGGATTTTGTGAGAAGGGACGGTTCACAGACTTGGAGGTGACTGACTGCATCCCACAGGTTGCGTGCAGTCAAGGGACACTGCTGGTCGTGGAAGAGAAAGATGCAGGCAGAAGAGGAATGAGTTCCACTACTATCGATAAACAAACAAAAAGAAAATTTCAACCGGACCGTCAAGGGCGCACTTTTCCGACGTCCAGCGTCGATCTCCGCAATTGTACAGATGCATTGTTAAATCTTGCAATCTTCTCAACCCGATTGTATAAAAATTTGTGCGCTGTCGCGGAGAAGCGCAGAGCTCCCTCCGCTTTGTCATGTCTTATCGCCCGCTACACCATGTTTACTGCAAAAGCAAATCAACACAGCGTCTTGACAGCTTAGAAGTGCTGATCTGTGACCAACGCCATTGAGAGATCAACTCAGAGCGCAAGCCGTTTCATCGAAAGCCTCGGTGATTGGGCCGTGGAAACAGGTTTACTGTGCTAGTGTCCGCTACACGCGAATAAATATTGACAACCCCTTGCCCAATGTGTACTTCGAAAAACGATTTCAAACAACACCAAAACAAAACGGGAAAATCAAAAAGCAAATTGGCTGGAGAATGTGGGCATTGATCCCACTGCCTCCCGCATGCAAAGCGGGCGCTCTACCATTTGAGCTAATTCCCCGGATGAAGTTGTGCAAGGGTAATTTCTGTTCATAACGTAATAAATATTTTTCGCGAAAGATATATACAGTATGGGTGCATGTGTCACGTGTACGCGACACCCTTCCGTTCGTGTTCTTTCGCTTTTGGTCGCCGATTTTGACCAAAAAGAAATAATTCCATTTCCCACTGAAATTCCGTTGACAGACACATACTACCCTAACGCCTCGCCCAGTCAACACACTCAACACACGCAGCCATGGTCAAGAAAAGGTTCATTGATAAGAGCAAGTCTGTTCACTACCAGGTCGTACACAGGTCTCAGCGAGACCCTCTGCTCGCTGACCAGGAATCGTCCACATATGTCCTCAAACCGATGCCCCCGAGCTACAACCTGTTGAAGGTAAGCGTGGAAGAAGAAGTGGAACGAGTAGAAGTTTTGGAGACCGCCTGGAGAAAGTACTTCTCACCAAGCTTGGCGCTTATCTGTTTTCTTGCATTTTTAGAAAGGAAAATATGACGCCGACATGCCGGACGATGAAGAGGAATACCCAGAGTTCGAAGAGCGAGACGGAGAGTATGACGGAAGCGACTTCTCTGGAGACGACGACGACTTCGATGACGACGAATACGACGAAGACGAACACGAGGGCGAGGAGGAGGATGAGAAAGATGGCGAACAAAAGGGCGAAGAGGTCGATGCCGTGAAGAAAGGGGAGAAGACGGACAAAAAAACTGTCAGAAAGAACCACAAAGGAAAGGCATCAACAGAGGGGATATCGAGCGCGCAACTGGCAGCCGATCCATCATTGTATGGTATCTTTTTTGACGACAACGACAACTACGATTACCTGAAGCACTTGAGGCCGATTGGCGGGGATCCATCCGCTGTGTTCATGGAGCCGAAGGGTTTGCAGAAGAAGGATAAATCAGGAGGCATCAAGTTTGTGGTATGTTTTCCAAATGTTTTTTGTGAATCGAAACATCGCATGGGGGCGGACCTCTGATCCTGGCACCTTTTCTAGGATGACGATGCTTCCGAAGCACTGACAGGTCAGCCGCGGAAAGTCCAGTTCGACCTGCCCAGCGAAGCATTTGCCTCAACATACGAAGAGCGGGTCGGTATGCTGAACCGACCGGCGGTGCCAAACATGCTCGACGTTGGTGGTGCTGTTCGTGAAGTTCTGTACGCGCTGGACGACGAAGCGTACGTTGACGAGGCCGCGGACGACGATTTCTTCGCTGCGCTGGACGCTGACGAAATACCGGAGGACTATAAAGCAGAGATCCAGGAAGCGGAGGCTCGAACTCGAGCGGGTGAAGATGACGATGAGGATGAGGAGCAGGATGGCGAAGGAGGGGCTGGTCAAGGGGATTGGTACAAGGAGTTTAAAAAGTACAAGAAGGGAGCCGAAGCGTTCTCTGATGACGACGACGACGACGAAGAGGGTTCTGAATCTCAGTCCCGGAATCCCAAATGGGATCGGCGCACCGCAGAAACTTCGTACTCCGTTATGTCCTCTTCCACCATGTTCAGAAACGACAAACTCACGCTGCTCGACGACCAATTCGACCAAGTTCTGGGCGAGTACTCGGACGACGAGATCGGCGAGCTCGATGCCGAAGATCCTTCCGTCCGCGGTGACAACCTGGTCAGCAAGCAGCGTCTCGAATCAATGTTTGACGAGTTCCTCGACGCGACCGAAGTCATGGGCCACAAAAAACGCCTCGTGACTCGAGTCGACCGCATAGGCATCATCGACAGCGTTCGTGACGAGCTCAAAGAAAATGCAAAGGACGCCATCAGGATGTACCAGGCGGGCGAAGGGTACATGGCCGACTCCAAAGACGCTGACATTGTGATGCCTGAGGAAAAAGTTCGTGACACGTGGGACGTTGAGACTGTGCTCAGCACCTACTCGAACATTTACAACCGCCCCGCGTTGATCAGCGAACGCACCGACAAGAACAGATCGCCTAAGATTCGTCTCAAGGGCAAACTCGGTCTGCCCGTCATCGAGGAACCGCATAACAACAAGAAGGTGGCGGCGGCGGCGGCCTCGTCACCGCTAGCTCGACAAAATGAAGTGGAGAACGATAGCGAGGATGAGGAGGAGAACCAGGAACAGCCGGTGAATAAGGGCGCCGCGAGGTCCAAGGAGGAGTCCCAAGCTGAGAAGAAGATGCGGAAAGCAGAGGTCAAGGCAGAGAAGAAGGTAAACAGAGCAGTTGCAGTTGCAGAACGATTGTGAGTGTTTTGACGCTGACCTGATCATCGAATTTTCCCTTGCTTTCCGCAAAACAGAGCCGGAGAGTGGAAAAGAAGGCGACAAAGACGGCGTTCAAGGACGAAAGCAAACGGCAAGGCAAGACGTTCCGGAATGTCCTTGCACAGGAGCAGAGCTTGCACATCGAATAAGAGAGCTCCACTCTCCCCACACACTACACCCATATTCCACGCACATCTCACGCACGTTTCACCTTTGCACACACACACTCACAATAGATCCGACATCGGGCCTCGTCCGCTACCTTGTATGCCACACGCATGCACGGTTTGCCGACACATACACTCATATCGCATCACCGTTTCCCCGGCCTGAATGTGTGAAGTGAGGTTCCGGGGATCCTCACTGTTCGTTCCAGCCACGGCTTTTTGCCAGCGCCTTTTGTTGTAACATAGATGTCTTTTTCATTCTATACTCGAGGCCAGATTTCTTATAATGTAATATACATCAATATTTTGACAATCATCATCCTCGTGCCAAGTGCCCAAGTCGCGAACTGGTGCGTGTATCCAATGGCTTTGCATCCATCTGTGTATTAGTCACCGGTTACGGGAGAGAAGGGTGAAAACCTGGGTTTGAGCTAGCCCTTCACGATGACAGGCTGGTACTGTCTGGTAAGCATGTTGAAGACGCTTCCAAAATAGAGTGCCATCAGAGTACACGTCAGGGTGATGACGTTGTAGGGCATGCTGAAGTCGGGCGTGGGGAGACTGACAAGGACAGTTTCGGTGTGGATGCGAACTTGCGGTGGAATATCATGTGGTGATGGAGGTGATTCGGGTATGGCCGTGAAAGTAATGACGGCCGCACTGAGTAACGAATGAAAAATATACTTATGAGATAAACGGAGAGGGGAGGAGAAAGGAATGAGAAGTGCTTGCAATATTACCCAATGTCGAATCCGCGGTTCGCGTCCGGCGGATGCTCGGTGTACTTGATGTACGCCTTGTCGAATTCCAAGTGCAGGGTGGTGGTGCTATTTGCAGGCAATGTCATTTTCATCTCTAAGACCGCTGGCCGACCACGGTCGATTGCCGGCTGGTAATACATGTCTTTGATGATTTCTGAATACAGAGTAAGAGATACAGGGAATGGGCAGTCAATAAACGTCAAACGAAAAGGGTTACTGGTAGGCGACAACGCGCACGCACCATGAGAGGCATCCGCTGCTGTTTCGGCCCTCAGAGTGTGGAGGTACAGTTTGAGATACCACGGTATTGCCTCAAAGTAAATGATGTCGAGGTCGGCCGTAGGGTGGTGGTTGCGTAGATCGACCGCCAGTCCGCCGCGTTCCCCGCCGTAGCCGGTCTGATATCGATGCGCGTCAATGTACCAGCGTGATCGATTGACGCCTGAAAGAAGCGCTATTCAGCAGTTTGCTCAACCAGATTGGCGGCTCCTTCAAAGTGCACAGATGCTAATCTCCAAAATATACCGTGGTCAACTTTAGAATCCTCCCACGTCACGCCAAAGTCTGTATCCTTCGGTGTAGCTTTCATTGAGAATCATCTGTTAGTCATTCGATACATCAATCTGATCACATTTTCCATGAAACACTCACATAAGTCAAGGTTGTAGTGCGCAGACAGGCGTTCATGAGAGTCAGTGAGCACCGATAGAGGTGGGGAATTCAGGGTAGACGCTGGATGACTGGGCACCGTGACAACAACCTTCGTGTCGCTCGCAAGAGCACAGGCAGAAGCGATCTTGCGTTCAAACAGGCTGCTCAGTGACCAGTCTACAGATGCATCATGCCGATAAGAATCAAACGGTCGTTGATGAACCGGTGGCTATGATATCGCCATACCTTTTCGATTGTCTAGCCGAAGTGGATTCAGCACCACCGATAAGGTCTGCACAAACTCCATCCCTCTGCCTGCATCGTCCTACAATCATTCTTATCAGGTCCAGCAATCACATCACGAACGATCCCAGACCCTACCGTTATGATTGGTCGTATGTGGGTGCCCATCGAATGATAGTGACCGTCAAACAGCCTATACGCGTTGAACAAGCTCGCAATCCCCGCCTGGGTTTGACACGGCAGAAGTTTGGTCCAAGGCGTCAGATTTTCTGTACAGACAGCTTCGTGCGGCAGACTACCGTATCGAAGCTCAAGCACGTCTTTTCATAAAAAGAATTAATCAACATGCGGCACGGTGGTGAGTCACGGTCGGAGCCCGGGATTGTACCTTGTGGTAACTCTTCACCGTAATCTCCTTCCGGCAGGAACGAGAGCAGCGGTTGCGCGGTATTCGACTGATCGATTTGGTTAAGCGAGGCGCAAAAGAGCCCCGCCAGCGCATGCGTCAGTCCTTTCCATTGCTTATCTACGCTGTCCATTTCCATTGTCAGTTCCCAGTTGAGCCTTTCTCCGACGTGAGGGGCATGCCCTCAGTGCAACTCTTTTCGTATACACACCTGGAAGTATTGAACCAGCTCCACAACTGTACGCCTGCCGCTGCACCGAGCGGCGAGTATCCCCATTTCTGATGGTTCCACGTCCCCTGGGTGAACGTCAAATGCAGCTCTTCTACCCCGAACGTTTGTACAATTTCCCCGACCGATCGTGGAAGGAGCGAGTAATGATTGTCTAGCACAGTAGAGCGGATTCAGACGACGCATTTCCTGACATTCCGTCTGAGTAAACCGCCAAAGCACACCTCTAACTTTGGCCAGGGCGAGAGGCCCAATGCGGCGTATGAATTTGAATTCACTGAGAACTTTGCCGTCT